TCCCTAATTTGTATGGAAAATAATATAAGCCCTTTTCATATAGTTCCTGAATTCTGTTTTTCAAATACAAATAATTTTCCTAAAATAGTCTCCTGATGCCTTCCTTCCCCGCTTCTGCAGCAGTATGGTGAGACATGTAGTTTCTACAGACTTGTAGGCTGGCTAGCTCACAGGACCTTCATCCTTACAACAACATTTCATACATGGCAGTCACAGAACTCCTGTGATAACCACTCAAATGGATTTACACAGAGCCTGGTATCGTGTGGGAGGTGCACTTTCTCCTGAGTACAAGTCTTTTCTATGTTAAATAAAGTTAAAGCATGATTACTGTATTGAATGAACTGCAGTTTTGTTTTAACAAAATATTTCTATTTGCTTCCCTAGTAATACCATACCTTTAGTTTCCAGAATCCATGTGTTCTTGAGCTACTGTTTCTAGAAAAGGAAATAATGCAATCCATTTATTAGAATTCAAATATTAAAATTGAACTTCTTATCTAATGAAGATGACTTCTGTTTTCTCTTCTTTACTGAAATCATATATAAAAATAACTGCTATAATTTGTAACAGGGCTTACTGTCCACATATAGAATAAAGCCTGGATGTGACTATAACTGCACATGAAAAAGGTGGGCATAAAGTTCATATGCAGTTTAAAATAGTTTAACATAGCAAATTGCACATGAACTTTATGGACACCTGAGTATCTCACTTATTCTTGTTGTCAGTGATTTCTAGTTTTATGTATTTATCAACGTCAGTGAAAGTTAAAATGCATCTGTAAGTAAATAGGTTTTTGGGTACACCGAAAAATATTCATTTTACCAGAAGATTCACCTTAGGATTTTAAAAACACTCATACACCTGTATGTGTATTTCTGTATCCTTTTGATTATTTTATTTCAGCTTTTTTGACATTATTATACCTCTTCCGTATTTCTTTATCATTTAGAAAGAATGACACAGGTCAGACAATTAAGTTCCCAAAGTCATCCTCAGAAAAGTACTACCTACATCATTGCTGAGTATCACAATGGTCACCGTCCACGTACTCCCCTTTGAGCAGCTCTGCAGCAACACTAGTGCCCAGTGCACCCTTCAACGCACTTTTTCTACTCTGAGTTCACAAACAATTAAGATCTTGTACTATGACAGCTCTGATGGTCATTCCGGAAAATGTTCCAAAATTGTTGTGAAGGGTGGACAAGGTGCTGGTGTCAGTGCATAGCTTTGCAAGGGTAGGACTTTGAAGGTATGACCGTAGTGATATTCAGCAATGAGGTATGTGTAGCACTTTTTTCCAAAATGCATTTGCAAACTTAATTGTCCAAACCCATACCTATGTACTCCTTTAGGGCTGCAATCTTTGATAATTTATTTATGTAATTCACGTAATGTAAATAAAAATTATTAGGCAGTACCTTCGAATGACATAAAGCAAATAATTACTATCCTTAACAAACATCAAACATTTGTGAATATGAAAAAGCTGGCTTGTCACTTTATTTGTGAGACAACTGCTTGTATTTTTCAGTTTTTTAATATAGTTCCTATTTACCGATATTAAATTGAAGGAAAATGAGATGCTTAATTCTAAAAAGTACCTAGGGTAAAAAGAGTTGGGAAGTCTTACTTTTACAACAATCCATCCTAAGGTATAACATATGAAATCTCCTCAGGTCAGTATATTGCAAAGTGAATGCCAGTGGTCACTCCTATCAGAATTACTTAGGAAAATTGTGGAAAACCCCACCACAAACCTGCAGAACCATTCATTACACCTGTGTTTTAAGAAAATACCCAAGGTGATTCTTGTGGACACCAAAGTTTAAGTACCACTATTTTTGGCAGTATAAGCACCATCATTTCAGTCTCAGTGCTTCAAATAACACTGGAATGTGGTATTTCAAATGGTAATGTTTATTACCACCTAGTGGTAAGAGCCTTTATTTCTACTTTCTGTGGGTTCATTAATACTGAATAGGCTCCCAATTCAAACAGAACAAAACTCAGAGAAAGCTAAAAATTTATACTAATAATTTCCTGGGTATTTTTTATTAACATTTTATTCACAGTGGATGAAACCTGCAACTAATAATATCACATATGTTCTAAATGTACTTAACCACAAAAACTTCTTTTTAGTCCATGTTTCCCCGAAAATAAGACAGTCTTATATTTATTTTTCCCAAGAAGACACACTAGGGCTTATTTTCAGGGGATGTCTTATTTTTATTAAGTATAATACAACAATCTACATTTATTCAAATACAGTTCAATAACATATGAAATCTCTTCTGGAACCTGACAGGGGGAGCTGACCTTGTTGGTGGGGCTGGTGCTAGTGATACATCAACTCCTTTCCCCTAGCTGTTTGCACGTGCGCAATAGGATGCCTGCGACTGTGGTTACCACCTGCACAAGTGCAAACGGCTTGGAGAAAGGAGCTGTGGCTGATAAAAGGTATTCCAGGCTTCCTTACTGCTCCGCGCTGAAATGCAGGTCTTATTATTGGGGTAGGGCTTATATTTAACAAAAGCATAGAAATCCTGCTAGGTCTTATTTTCGGGGAAACACAGTATTTTAAGGAAAGGAACATAGTTTGGGACACATTCTAGAAGCAGATTTGACAGTTCCTTTCAGTACCTATAATATTATCCAGGATCTGAGTTAATGAATTTACAAGAAAGGTTTGACCAGGCTTTATTTTAAATGTCATTTACATTTTAATCACATACTTGAGAGATTTAGTGAACTGTATTTGTTTATTGTCAAATATTTTTTAAATTTAAGAAATATCTAATAAAACCCCACTATATTGGCAGTTTTAATAAACGGCATTTGTTGAGCATCAAAATATTCATATATTATGTTCTTAATACCCAAAGAGCAACTGAGAAGCAACATTTAGAGGAAGATATAAACCCTAGATGGCTACATGCTATTTCTTAGGTTCTAGAGTTGCCTCATTTTAAGAAAAATGAGACACTCTGGCTTTTAAAATGATTTTGGGATGAAAAAAATCTAGCTTGTGGGGGTGGCACATGTGGCTCAAGAGTAGGGCACCAGCCCCATATACTAGAAGTGGTGGGTTCAAAACCTGGCCCCGGACAAATACTGCCAAAAAAAAAAAAAAAATCTAGCTTTTGGTAATGAATCTACAACGCTCCTGTACTTGTTTTCTTCAAAAAAGAGCATGTGTTTTCTTTTAAAATATACTCTCTGGCTCGCAGAAAGATACTTGGTTCAATTCTGTGCAGTCAGTCCTGCCTGTGACAATAAGAGTAGACATTTTCTTATCAAAATTACTAACATTACTGATGAAAAAAAAGGATTTAAATTTTTCTGTGTAAATACGTCCAGGTATAAAATACTTTATTATGATTGCTGAATTTAGTCTTTCATTATTTTTAGTTTAACTCACGATGAGAGAGGCATAATGAGATAATTAAATGACGTTTTAACAATGCCTACCATTTATAGTACCTTTTCTTAATGCCAGGTTCTTGATTTAGATATACCTTTTTGATAATATCACTCAAGTGTTAATAAACATTTTTTTCTTGGACTTTGAAAATAAAAGCAGAGCAAGTTCTAAAGTTTTAATTTTGAAATGACTATGCTTCCTATCACAGTCTGTTTTGAAAGCTGCTTATACATCATATTTTTGGAGTGCCCCTTATATTTCTGTATTTTAAAAAGGAAAAGTAGCCACCCTCCCCCAAAGCCACTAACAGTTATTTAAACTTAAAAGATCATTACAGAATTATCAACAAACCTTGGTATAATAATACAGCATAATAGTATTCCTAATGATGTGTCTTTTGGCTCTTGCCCTTACAGGAAGCGGAAGCAGTTAATCTGCATGTGCAGAATCAGTAGCAATCATCACATTTTATCGAATCTAAGATGCAACTGATTGGAAGAAGCACCTTTATGTTTTATTAGAAGAAAACAAGGTTGTTAATTACACCGTGACATAATGTTTCCACTTTCAGAGGTGTTAAACTGTGAAAAAATGTGCATCTAAAAATCGATGAAATCCGTCAGTCAAATTCTAAAGACTGTCTATAATTTTTTCCATCTTATCTTTCACATAAATAAGCCATGATTTAGTTAAGCAAAGAAAATTTTATTTCTGCTACACATAACAACATATTGCTCTAAGCAACAATTACTATATTAGTTTTAGCAGTAGTGTATGGATTCAAAAACACATGTCAGCAATCCCTGCTTCCCAGACAAAACAACGGTGTGCATAGACTATCAGGTACGTGAAAAAAAAAAAAAGCTGTCAACTGTCCACAGGGAGTGTGTCCAGTCACATTTTCAGTCAGTCAGCTGAGGATTATGTCATTATTTAGTTTTTGTTCTGTAGAAAGAACACAACACAAGTATAAAAATCATCACCTGAAAGGAAATAGCTGTTGTATATAATATTCCTAAAATGTTAGAAATTGTTCCCTTATTGTAGTATGACCAATGTTATCTGCTTAATCATAGATGCCCCAAATAAACAAAACCAAACTTACTCAGGATGATGCAACCAGGTACTGAATTTCTAGAGGTAAAATGCTGTGAATTAACACAAAATCTGGTGCTCTGAAATACTAAAATTTCTAGTTTCCTTAAATAGAAAGAGAAATATGTTTTGGACATCAGACTCATCTCAAAATAGAACTCAACTATTTTCAAAGTTATATTCAAAGGTCAGTTTCTTTTCCTATGTCCTAGGCATGGCTTACTTAATCCCAGGCTTATTCCTCAGAGACAAAAGGAATGAGCCTTCATAAGCTGTGTCCGTGTCCTCTTAAAATTAAAGAAACAAAAAAGCATACTCCCTCCCCGAAAAAGCCTTGTCACAATCCTGTAAAGTTTGAAAAAGTTTTTATAATATTTTATCAAATCTTAAAATAAGATATATATTTATACCAACAAAGGAGAAGAATCGCATTATGGAGTCCATGGTAAGTAGAAGATCTGCAGCAAAAATAAATTAAAAAGCCATGATGCAATTAGAAAAAACTCAAAACCAGTATGGCTAATTATATCCTACTCAAATAGCATTTTCAACTAAGGTGACCTTACTTTATCTTTGCTCTAAATTTGTGTAACAGTTCAAAAAGTGGGGGAAATGATAGATTTATATTTTTACGAATAGCTATGCTGAAGAATATGCAATTACTCTAATGTAGGAAATTAGATGGATTCAAGGGGAAATATACATAGTATTATAAAGCTTAATTCTCATAGCGCAGTTGGCCATGAGGTAGTTTTACATCATTATACCTTTTTAAAAAAAAATACATTTTGGATTAATGTAAGGGTAAGATTAGATTACACCATTTGCATTTGTTAGGAAAAGTCCAAATGGTATTTGAGTCTTTATAGTTTCTGATCATTGATGTAATTATTTTCAATGATACGACATCTCAAAGGTTTCAATGAACCACAATTGCAATAGTTTTAGTTTATCCTTGGCAAAGCCTTTTTACCCCCTTTTTATGAGGAATTTTACACATTCATTGCCTGTTAATAATCCTGTGAAAATACTGAGCCTCAGGAAGGCCTGAAGAGACCTGCCTAGTCATAGTTAAGTGTGCAGATCTGCTGGTTTTAAGCCCCATATTCACTTTAATATGTAAATAATCAACAAAGGCTCAGCTGTAACATTAATTTTTATATTTTTCTTACTAGAAAGTCTGTCTTATTGTCCTTTTTAAGGACAAAGGTTTGGCAAACAAAAGCAAGAAGCAAGAAATAGACTGGAATAAACACATTTTTTTGCATGAAGACAGCCTGTCTAAATAGAATTCAGTTCTTAGCATTTTACTCAAAAACAGGAAAAACTGCTTGTTAATTCTTTTTTCACTGGTAATTTAATATTTCTAGGGTTAAACTGCTAACAATGTATGGTGTAGTGAGAATGGTTTTTGTTATTTAATAAAACATTTTAAAATTAGGATTATTCACAATGGACCCAGTGGGCACTTTCTAATGCCAACTGCCTTCTACAGAGGAAGAACTAATCACCTGACTTGCTCTGAGAGGAAGGGCCATCGGCAGGAAGGGTTGAGAGGACTCGTTCTGACAACCGCTAGTTCACGCAATTGGTAAGAAAACCTTAAGTGAAAAAAAGAAATGGTTGCAAGCCAGTAACTTCGATCTGAATTCAAAGTGCTTGCCAACTACTACTTTTTGACCTGTGGTGGACTTGGGAAGCTGAAGCCTGTGGGAACAGGGACACAGCTTCTGCTGAAATGCAGAATTTATCTACAGGATAAAAAAGTCTAACTTTAAGGAATGTCTTTCCAAACCAAATATATATAAAAATACTATTATAGAAAAAGAAATTATAGTTTTATTTCTGAAAACTAATAAATAGGAGAGAAAATTCATATGGCTGTATGTATTATTATTTATAAAAGGTAAGAGGTTTTGTTAAATTACTAGTTTTTAAAAATACATTTATGCACAAAAGAATATTTTCCGAATGTACAGTTTTAGTGCACAAACTCACAAATATAACATCAACATTTAGGTTCTAAAGATCCAAAAAAAGATAAATAATTTAATACTACTTTTAAGGCATTTCATTAGTGAGAAGTCAAAATATTCTTTATAAAGACTGTTATAAAATTACCTCAATTCACAACTCAAGACACTTGATTTTTAAAGTTAAAAATCTTTAGAAGTATTCAATTTCAAAGTTTATGTTAAAAGCACAGTTCTTACTAAGTTATTCACAAACCTAAAACCTAAGTTATTCAGAAACAAAAAACTAGTTAACTTTGTAAATTGAGATTTGATTTTATTTCATAGAAGGGCAAAAACATTCTTCTAGTTAATGTCAACAGTGTTTTTTCAGAAGTTTAAGTTTGAAAAATAGATGGTAAACAATACTTGGTTTTATCAGCAAAGTGCTTTTAACAGACAACTTCTCAATCACTAAAAAGAAAAGTCCATAATTAAAGGTACTTACACATATTTCTCTTGCTATATACTTTAGCCAATATACATGTATTAAAATTCAGATTAAAAAGTGCTTACCTCCAGAATCAGTAAGTTCTTTGCCGTTTGTTAGATTCTTCTCTTGGGGAATCTGCCAGCATAACTTTAAGCCTGACCCCATTGAGAATCTTTCCATGTAAAGTGGCAATGGCATCATTAGCACTTATTCTGTCTGCATACTTGGCATACCCCACATTTTTTCCTGACACAAGGTAAACTTCGATCAGGTTACCAAAACGACTGAAACAAAGTGAAAAAAATCAACTGAAACTGATGAACAGAGCTGCTCCGGTCTAAAACCTAGGGTCTCATCTTGACTTTTTTTCACCTGTTTCCCCATATCCAACACGAGATTCACGTCAGTCTTAAACATCTCCTCAATCAGTCAATTCTTTTCATTCTCATTTGGGGTCACTTTCCTTATTCAGACCATCATCTTTTCCTTACATTATTTTAGTATCTTTTTCACTTATCTCCTTGCCTCTTGGGCTTGTCCTCTTTAATCCATTCTCTACCCCGGCTTCTGAGTGAGCAGAGATACGATGATCATTTATTCCTTAAAAATTCCCTCAGCAGCGCCTCACTTCCTCTAGGGCAGTGATTTCCAATCGGTGTGCCATGACACATTGGTGTGTGATGAGCAGATCGTACATGTGCTGAGAAAATTTTTAAAAGAACATTGATTAAATTATTTTTGAAAGAAGTTCAAAGCACAGTAAGTGTACTCTCTTTTTTTTGATCCACGTAATTTACATGTGCCACAGAAGTTTAATTAAGATTCAAGTGTGCCATAAGATAAAAAAGGTTGAAAAACACTGCTCTAGGGTAGTAAGCTTCTTCTTCTTTTTCATTTCTTATAACATAACTGTGCACATTAATGCAATCATGGGGCACAATCATGTGCTGTTTTCATATACATTTTGAAATACTCTCCTCAAACTGGTTAACATAACCTTCATGTCATTTTCTTAGTTATTGAGTTAAAACATTCATACTCTGCTTTTAGAAAGATTCACCTGTACCCGTAGTAAGCTTCTTAAGATAGTCTGAAAGCCTTTCTTGCACAGTCCTTGGCCTCTCTAATTTCATCTTCTCTTACAATATCTCAAATTCCATATTCTAATGACCTCCTTTCACATTCTTCCTGACAAGAATAACCATCCATACCCCCAACTTTCTCCCATGGTGAAATTATCTGTATCCTTCAAGTCTCCTCACAGCTTCTTTCAAGAAGCTTTCTCAGAGATTCAGAGGTAGGCACCTACCCTACGTACGTTATACATTCCTTAGCATAGCACCGATTTCTCTAGGTTGTTATTTCCTATTAAGTTGTCTTCTACATGAGATTAGAAGACAAAGAAGACAAAGACTATACTATAATGTCTTGCTCATTTAATGTCATGTTTTTTAAACATCTATGTTTTTCCACCATTTTTATATCATGGCATACTTGAACCCATAATTAAACTTCCATGGCACACTTAAAATTATGTTGATCAAAAAAAAAGAAAGTAAAAAAAGTACATTTACAGCACTTTGAATTTCTTTCAAAAATAATTTAATTAACGATCTTTAAAAAATTTTGCAGTACACCTAAGATCCTCTCACACCACACCAGTGTGCCATGACACATCTGTCGAAAATCACTGGTTTATATAATGTCTCTAGCATTTAGCACAGTGCCTGTGGGGCACAAGGAGAGATGCCAGAAAAAATCCACATTATATCAGTTACATAAAGGTTAAATTACAATCACATCCCTGATATTCTATGTAACTCTAAAAAGCTTCCCATCTATCTGTTTAGTTCACTAATATTCTTGTAAGGCAAATGAGAAAAAAGACCAAAAAGAAAAAAGCTGAGGAAGGAGTTATATAAAAAACACAAAAATAAATAAGATACTTCCCTTTTCTTTTTTCTAGAGACAGTCTTAATTTGTCACCCTGGGTAGAGTGCTGTGGCGTCACAGCTCACAGCAACCTCCAACTCCTGAGCTTAGGCAATTCTCTTGCCTCAGACTCCTGAGTAGCTGGGACTACAGGTGCCTGCCACAACACCCAGCTATTTTTTTGTTGTAGTTTGGCTGGGGCTGGGTTTGAACCCACCACCTTCAGTATATGGGGCTGGCGCACTACTCACTGAGCTAGAGGCACTGCCCATGCTTCCCTTTTCTTTCACACTTATTATATATATATTTTACCTTACAATCAAGTAATAGCTTACTCAATCCTGAAGGACCCAATAGTGCACTGACAAAATAGAAGATGCTTAGTAAATACTGTTCAGTTGAATTACAACTATAAGGAAAAAGATATGTGAAAAGAATTCTAGTGGACAGGTCTATGCAAATGTGTCTTCTATCAAGGGACAAATGATTTGTCTATTTTATGTCTTCAGAATAAAGGAAATTCTAAGTGAAGAAGGACATGTGACTGACAGAAAAGACAATGATCAGAAATTTTATAAAATAATACAAATATATTCACAACACAGCAGAATACATAATCTCTACCTGCTAGGTAGAGGATGAAGGAAATGTCAAGATTGTGAGAATGCTTAAATTATTAGTTTAAATTATACTAAAAAAAAAACATAGCTTTGTAGAATTAAATCTTACCAGAATATATCTTCTAATACATCTAAAGGTAAAGGATGAGGATTAAACACGATAAAAAGTCTTTCTTTCATGGGAGTTTCAGGAGGGGCTTTTTTTTTGCATGATGGAAGTACAACATCAGTCTGGATTTGAGGCAACTGTGATCCAGAACTTCCTCCAAATTGCTGTTGAACAGTTAGGTACAAAATGAGAAAAAGAAAAACTGCACTTTAGGGATTTTTGGCCAAGAGCTAAAGATAAATGTGTATCATGGCACCTATGTGGTTTTCTACAATAGCTCTGAAAATTTTCTTACACAGGTAATATGCAAGGTCACACTTATTTTATATACTATTGATGTATTACAAAAGTTAAATCCTTACACCAACTTACCATAAATTGCTGCTGACTTGGGTTATTCCACACCATTGATGCAAGCTGTGCAGCTACCATCTGTGTTGCCATTTTTCTAAGGAGACTGGAGACAATAACTGGTAATTTACAGCAAACTAGAAATATTCAGTCTCTTAACAGTAACTTGTTTTGTGTGATTTTCTCTCCTGAGAGGTCAACTGTTTTGTATTTTTATTTTTCAAGTCATAATCATGTACACTCAAAGCCTGGCCATAGGCACTCCTGGAATGGTCCGTACTTACTCTGTTACATTACTTCCATCATCAATGAAGGAAACGCGTATCCGATTGCCAGGAGGGTACTGAAATCCATGGAACTTGTATTTTGCATAAATGGCTGATGCTACATTAAAATACTGAACCACTCCATGACCTAAAATAGAGAACATAACAGAAATGAAAAAGAAACAGACTGAGTGCCTATGGACTATGTTTACAATGTATCTCAAAAATGAAACCATTTAGAACCCTAGTATCACACAACTAGTAAACACAGAATCAACTGTATCAGAAGATAGTTCTGTTATACATACATGCAACAAGTGTATTCCTAAAAAGCGAACCTAATTCAGACTTTGGAAAATATATAAACATGATATATAAAAGAAAATGGCATATTAGTATACTTTCTGTCTCATCAATTTCATCTTAAAATACTAGTTTTTCTTATCTAATACTGATACGCTTACAAACCTACATTTTTATTATTTGAAATCTACTTTGGAAATTTTGAAATTTTCCCTACCATACTGGATAGGAAATGAAATGAGATATTTGGAAAGGATATCTATTTATATTGATTAGCTGCAGCAGAGGAAAGAAAAGTGATTAGAATGAAAAACAAAAGGTAAGGAGCAGAGGGTCTTCTATCTTTTTGTTTGTTTGTTTTGAGACAGAGTCTTAATATGTCACCCTCGATAGCATGCTGTGGTGTCACAGCTCACAGCAACCTCAAACTCTTGGGCTTAAGTGATCCTCCTGTCTCAGCCTCCCTAGTAGCTGGGACTACAGGTGCCCTCCACACACCTGGCTATTTTTTTGTTGTGGTTGTCATTGTTGTTTGGCAGGCCCCAGCTGGGTTAGAAGCCTCCAGCCCTGGGGTATGTGGCCAGTGATTACTTGCTGAGCTACAGGCATCAAGCCAGGATCTTCTATCTTAAGTCACATATTTTAAGACTCCTTTGAAGAGATTTCAGTTAAGGGGACATATTTCAATTCAGGAAGGTACGGCTAAAAGAAAGGACAGTTTTATAATGGAGTATTTAAATGGAGAGCCCAGGAACTTACCAACACAAGCAAAAGATTTTCATGTATTTATAACATAATCCACTTAGGAGAAAAAACTTATAATTTTATGTTCCTCCAAAAATCCAAGCAGCCAATGCTTTAATGAAATTAAAATACAATACAAAATTATATGACTATAAAAAATTAATTCAAATAGGATCCTAATTATATGATGACACCTCTATTAATAAAATGATGCTCCTCTATTAATAAAATGATACATATTTTTCAGACATACAAGCAAAGCAACTATATAGAAGGCACAGAAACAAAAACACTTCAACCTACCCGATAAAACAGTGGGAAAACACAAAACAAATGGAATTTCCTATGAATATAAAAAATGTACCAGAAAATGCAAAATGTGTGCCCAGAAGTCTTAGAACAGAGGATGAAAGCATAAGATGAAGTTAAGGTTAGAGACGGCCCAAAGTGTAATAGGTTCAGATGGACAGTTCTGCTAAAAGACCAGTGCTGGGTAAGGGGTTATCTGTGTAAAGGGTGAAATCACTGTAGGCCTGCTGGTACATGTGATCAGACTCATTTTCTCCTCTATACCTATGGTACTCTAAAAAGACTAAATGAGATATACCTATAATACTGAAAGCGATGATGACCAAGTATGATTTTTCTCACTTCCAATATTTTTATTTTATTTATTTTTTATTAAGTCATATATATATAGATCATGAATACATTCACGCCTTTGTGGGATTCAATGTGTTCATTATTGTCACTTCTAATTCTTTAAACATCAACAAATGAACAAAAAATCTTTAGATTTTTGAGAGCCTATGATGTGCCAGGACTTGCATTCAGTTATTTTACATGTATTATTTCTAAGTCTTTCCTAACCTTGGCAAAGAAGGTATTGATCCCATTTTACAGATGAAGAAAGAGAGGCTCATAGAGGATGAGCAATTGCCAGGGTCTCAAAGCTATACGCCACTGTGAGGGTTTGCACTTGAGTCTGAAGCAACTCGTGAGGAGTATAAACGCATTTTGGGGTATAAAGTTTAAGAGAAAGAGACTTTGGGATGAATGAAAAGGAAATTTTGAGTTTTATAATTTTGTTTAGCATTAAGAGTATATATAGGCTTGGCGCCTGTGGCTCAAGTGGCTAAGGCGCCAGCCACATATGCCTAAGGTGGTGGGTTCGAATCCAGCCTGGACCCACCAAACAACGACGGCTGCAACCAAAAAAATAGCTGGGCGTTGTGGCGGGCACCTGTGGTCCCAGCTACTTGGGAGGCTGAGGCAGGAGACTAGCTTGAGCCCAGGAGTTGGAGGTTGCTGTGAGCTGTGATGCCACAGCACTCTACCCAGGGTGACAGCTTGAGGCTCTGTCTCAAAAAAAAAAAAAAAAGTAGAGATCCTACTCAGGTATTTTTGTTGTTCAACCCAAGGCAGAGAATGCTCTACTTTGTGGGAGTTAAAATTCTTTTTTAAGTGAATGACCGTCACAATGAGATATAATCCCAGGGGTTTGTTTTTAGGTTTCACTGTATTTAAAAGTCTAAAGTAGAGAAAAAGGAAATATAAAATTCATGTCACACAAACGGAAAAGGGAAAAATATAAAAGTGACAGGAATTTTATGTTCTGAAATAAAAGTGTCACCAGAGAAAGTCATTGTAATAAAACACAGTACATTAAAAAAAAAAAGATGTTATTTTTACCATAATTTGAATAAGGATCTCGTTGAACTTCACAATATTCCAATCCTGGTATTATATCAAAAATGCTGAAAAGCTGTTCGTCAGTGAAAGGAACTCTCGATACAACCGACAAGCGTTTGGAGATAGCTTCCTGGCCTCTGTTATCATTCTTGTCAAAACTTGAAAATTCAGAGTGTTGTTCTCCAACAAGATAAAAAAAGTAAATCTTTAAGTTTCCCTACTTTCAAGAATTCATTTAATGTTTTAAGTAGTAGAAAATAAAGTCTATGGCATGGAATAAAGACATTGTATTATATCATATGCTTTGGGGCATCAGAACTGCCAGAAGGAACCAATGATGATTAAACAGACATCTCTCCCCACCCCATGACCTTGAAGGTAGAAACATGCAGAAATTCATAGCCTAATTTCACAGGAATAAGTTTAGTATGCAAAACTGAAAAACATGGCAAGTATTTTACCTGAAAGTAAGCCAAATAACACTCACAGGCCTTACTTTCATTATTCATTTTCCCCTTCTTTTCTAGCGTGTACTTTTGTCATTCTTCTCCGTTCAATACCCCTAATTTTAAAGAGGCAGTAGTTTTGGAACAAAATTATAGGATTCCTACTTAGAAGATATCTGTGTATGCTTTTTGTTCTATTTTACCAAGGCAGAAGCTCACTCAAAAAAGGGACAGTGGCTTGAGCCAATGGCTGTAGTTTACTCTGCAGAGATAATGAACAGAGAATATTTGGAAACAAGCAAAATAAACGTTACATATTAAGAACATCAGGAGTCATGATTAACTTTTTAGGAAAAAAATAATATTTAAGATGTTTATTCACTAGGTGAGATTTACTGACAGCTGACAAGAGAATATTTATAAAACCTCAAATTAGACTGCTAATACTATTATACAGACTCTATTAAAGGTAGCCCACTTACCAAATGGAAACATATTTATTCTAGGTTCATGTCCCAAAGCCTCTTGCCTCATATTACTATAACAGTCTTGTTCAGAAGATTCAGATGCTTTATTTTTAGGCTCAGCCAAGATTGCTCTAAAACCTGGAAAAGAGAATTCCACGAATTTCAAGCTTCATAGCAAATTTAATATATCTGATTGCTAATGCCTGACTTAGCTGTATAAATATAATTGTATTATACTAAGCAAAATCTGTACAATGGCCATCTCCACCAGACCTACCTCTTTGCTTTCTGGAAGATAACAAAGAGTAAATGAGAAACAGTAAGTCAATTTAGGCTTACCTTAGGCATGAAACACCAGCAGTTTTATGCTATCCTTTCTAATCTCCCCCTACTGCAGATGACATTATCATTTATTTGCCTAGTTTCTCAACACCAAAATCCTACAGAGCTTTTTCACATTTAACCTGTCATCAAGATTTTTTCCTTTGAAATACATACACTTAGAATGTTATCTTTCACTCTAACTTCCCTGACTCTGCTTTTTTTTTTTTTTTTAAATTTTAAGAGCCATAGTCTTGCTCTGTCATCCCGACTCAAGTGCAGTAGCCTAATCAGCTCACTGCAACCTCGAACTTCTGGGCTCAAGCAATCTTTCTGCCTAAGTCCCTGGAATAGCTGGAAGTATAGGTGCATGTCACCATGCCCGGCTAATTTTTCTCAGATTTTTTTAGAGACACGGTCTCATTATGTTGCCCAGGTTGGCCTGGAACTCTTGTCCTCAAGCAATACTCCTGCTTCACCTTCCCAAGGTACTGGAATTATAGGTATGAGCCACCATGCCTAGGCCTATGCCTGTTTTTAGCTTAGATTCTCTTCTATTAATTACAACAGCTCTTTAAACAGTCTCCTTGCTTCTGGATATAGGGTTCTTAACTAGGGGGCCAAGGATGAGTTTCAAAAGGGAGGAAGATCCCATAAACTCTCTGAAACTTAAAAGAAATGCTTATGCATATATGGGCATATTTCAAGGATGCATAGGTCTCATATTATTCAATGCTTTTTTGGTTCATTTTTTGCTTTTTTTGAGACAGTCTTACTTTGTCACTGTTGGTAGAGTGCCATGGTGTCATAGCTTACAACAACCTCAAACTTTTAGGCTTAAGAGATCTTCTTGCCTCAGCCTCCCAAGTAGCTGGGACTATAGATGTCTGCCACGGTGCCCAGCTACTTTTAGAGATGGGGTCTCACTCTGGCTCAGGCTGGCCTCCACCTCCTGAGTTCGAGCAATCTGGATGCCCTCCTAGACCTCCCAGAGTGCTAGGATTATAGGTGTGAGCCACTGTTCCTTTCTCCTTTATTCAGTGGCTTAAAAAAAAAAAAGTGTGAATTTTTTTCTGAAAATCTATCCTTATTATAACTGTGGCTAAATAAACTGTTCTGAAAGTTTTTATTATTTTTCTCTTTTAAATAATCTATAAGGGAACCCTAACACAGACTAAGCTTGAACTTATCATAACCTCCCACATATGGTTCCAATGGACCCAGTTAACTGTGGTTCATAATGTCTCAGTAAGAATATTTTGCTTTAATCAGAAAGAATATGTTCCTGTGTTCATCCAGCATACCTGTTTTTCATCAGTGATAGACTATTCCACACAGTTTTGAACATTTTTTTTCATTTCGCAGAGTCTTACTGACTCTACTATAAATGGCAGTTACTTTGACTGAGATTTCAGTAAACTTTTACTGAAGGCCATGAGGTATTAGGTATGTGAGGTGACACAAAGACAAGGCAAGACATACTTCTTGCTTTCAAAAGGCCTTTAAAAACTTCTTCTATATTCTTTATTTTTTGCCTATTAGATCTTGGCTACCCAAGATAGCTATGAATTCCTTGAATGCCAAGGTTGCCACAAGTTCAGTTTTTAATCCCTCTACTTTAGTAGTTCTCAACCTGTGGGTTGCGACCTCCCTCTACTTTAGTAGTTCTCAACCTGTGGGTTGCGACCTCTTTGTAACAATGAAAATACATCACGGCATTAGGAAGGTTGAGAACCACTGTTCTACTCAGCATATTGATGAGTATACCATGGGCACTCAATTAATGCTGGCTGAGTAAGAAGTGTAGAATATCTCAAAAGAAAATTTTGGTTTGTACTTTAGGGGTAACTAAGAATTCTCCTAACAGTAATTCTTTCTAGTATATATAGATTTTTATATCTTAAAATCCAGTAACTTAATTATTCTACATTTCATTTCTAAAGGTCATTATAACTTATAACTTGAAGTATAATCACAAAGAATATTGTCCTTGGCTTTAAAAAAATTCTTATTTTTCATTATGTGTACATCAACAGCAAAAGATCCAATTAATGTTACCCTAGCTTGAAATTAACCCTATTATATTAATTACCCCTATTACCAAACCTTATAAATACTATCCTTAGCACTATAGGTCTATTAGCACACTGAATGTTCATTGGGGTTTAGGTCAAACACAAATACAAAGAATATTTTAAAAACTCTGAAAACATAAGTCAATTTTTTAATACTTAAAATTCTAAAATGTTTGAAAAACCTACACAAATAACCAACGTATGCCTTTTTCTTACTAAGTTAATGTAGTTGCTTGTATTTCTAAGACAGTGCCTCACTGAATGCTTAATCACATCCCCCAATATTTTTCATCCTTGGACTATATATATTTAAAATACCTACTGCTAAGATTAAGTTAGGTTATTAGCAAAAATCAATATTAGATTCAATTATTTAGAATGATGAGAATTTTTTAAAAAGTCTTTAATAGTATTCAACAAATACATTCTTACTTCGATCACAGTTTTCTATTGCTTGAGCAGCTTGTGACGGTTTTAAGTATCGTACGTAGCCCAAACCTTTACTCTCTCCAGTGACTTTATTCTTAATAATGCTGCAATACTCAATATCTCCATACACCTATGAGAGTTAAAAGAAATGATCTTAGGGGACTTAATAATCAATCAGATTATTTAAGAATTAACTTCAAATTTATGTTTACTTGTGTCTCTTGTGTGCTAACACATCCTTCAAGGGTATACACAGAATAAATATTTTATACAGCTTATCTCACAAAGGAAGCTTGGCCTTAGCAAAATCAAATAACTTGCCCAAGTTACAGAGAAGGCTAATTCATGGAGAAAGAGTAGGGATTTGTACATGGTTTAAAACATTTTTTAAAATAATAGCTTTTAAATCATTTTTGTTAAAGTTTAAAGTTAAAGGGTACAAAGATTTAAAATTATCTTCAAATTTCGTTTACCATAAAATCTATAGTTCAGAAATGTAGTTAGTGTTTTTCTTCAAATATAACTCCTTCTTTTACAGGCCCAATTTGAGGACAAAAATTCTTCAAAGAATGTCAACATACTGTGGGCCTGTAATAGACAATACAGTTTACACACGTAGGTCTGCCTCATCACTTCTATGAGAGGCAATATAGGTGAGTGATAAGAGAGTGTTTTAAATTTTAAAGACCAAGAGTAGGTTTTGGTGCTCACTTTGGCAGCACATGCACTAAAACTGGAATGAAGACGAGGTTCTTGACTCAGACAGTTATGGTTTAAATCTTGGCTCCACTACCTACTAGGTATATAATCTTACTTTAAACTTTGAGCTTTATATTTCATTTTTCTGAAATGATATCTTCATGATAAAGTTGGGGTAGGGGTGGGTGACACCATCATTACTATTTTCCAGTCTTTATAGTATATTCTTTAAGAAATTAATTTATTCTATGTTAAATATTTAAAGAACAGACTGAAATTGTTGATCTAAAAATAGTTACTTAATTTCCCACCACTACTCTAACAAGGTAACTTAAACAACACTTCAGAGTTAGTACCTGTACTACCTGTTATGACTATGAATTATCACCTGTGTAGCTGATATAAAACATAAGTACCTTAAATTTTTCCCGTAGATCTTCTTCTGTATAGGACTTTGGTATTGTAACAAAGATTCTCGTAAGTTCTTCATCTTCAACATCTCGATGACTTCCAGATGATCTAGACTGAGCAATGTAAACCTAAGAAACAAACCAAACTCAACAACAACGTCAACAATTTTCCTATTCCTTAAGTAAACTTACTTTATGTACATGTAATACAATGTTAGATAAAAACGCAATTCATGTTAGATAAAAGTGCAATGTGACAGGATCTTAAAATTATTTTCAAAAGCAATCTATATTACAGTGACTTTATATGATAATAGCAACCTTTGCATTTTTTTTTCCGAATATACTTATTTTGTATTTTTGTTTAGTAAGAACAAATCACTGCACTTAAAAAGAAGGTGTACTTTGCAGTTGTTGGATACAGTAGTCCCCTCCTTGTCCTCAAAGGATATGTTTCAATGCCCCCAGTGGATGCCTGCAACTGTGGATTGTACTGACCCTATATACACTATCTTTTTTCCTTTGAAAAAACTTACAATTAAGTTAAATTTATAAATTAGGCACAGTAAAAGATTAACAATCATAATAAAATAGAAAGATTATACTGCAATAAAAGTTATGTGTATGTGGACTCTCTCAAATATCTCATTGTACTAAATCATGGGTAAATGAAAATCTTATAGAGTAAAACATGGCCAGTTTTTCTATTCTTTAGTACCGAAGGGCTATCAATCTTACTCAGGCTGGTCTCAAACTCCCGAGCTCAAGCAATTTGCCAGAGTGCTAGGTTTACAGTCATGAGCCACTGTGCCTGGCCTGGGTGTTTTGTTTTTTTTTTTTAATTATCTCACAATCTCTTTCTTTTAAATAGATGCTTAGTTCATTTACATTTAATGTAATTACTGATATAGCTAGGTTTAAATTTACATGTTCATTTGTTTCATTGCTTTCATTCTAACATTAATTTTTAGAAAAAGTTCTGATCTTTAGTCATACCACAAAGGAAAAAAAACATATTTTGTAAGAATAATCTCACTTAATGCTCACAATGATCCTATCAGGACAGTATTATTATTGCTATTATCTCCATCTTATGGTTCGTGAAACTGGGATCTGGTTGTAACTTATCCCAGCCACAGAGGCAGTGAGCAGAGGTAGAATTGGAATGCAAACTGCCTGCCCTCAAACCTAACTCTATGCCCACAGAGATGGCAGGTTGTAGAGAGTCTTCATTTCCACCCCCCTAGAAGCACAAAGCAAGATCAATAAAATCTGTATCCATACGTGATTACTAGGTTATATGGTATGGGTGAAAAATATAGAAAAATGATTAAAATTAAATTTTGGTAGTATATGAAACTAGTAGACTTTTCTGACATTTTTACATGGGATATTTCTGTGAAGATAAAATGAGGTGTTTTTTGAAAAACACCTAGAAAAATACTTGGCACAAAATAAATACTATAAAGTACTTTTAAAAAGTACTTTAAAAAAAGAGAAAAATGTAACATAACCATATTCTAGTTCATCTTCGTGACTATCCAAATGATTTCTTATGTGAGCAGGAAAATGCATAGGACCAAACTTGAAATTCTATTCTTCTAATACTGGCAACTTAGTGCTATTGAAACATTACTTATTAGCTGGGCATCATGGCAGGTACCTATAGTCTCTGCTACTTGGGAGACTAAGGCAAGAGGATCACTTGAGCCCAAGAGTTTGAGGTTGCTGTAAACTAAGATGATGCCACAGCACTCTACCCAGGTGATAGAGTGAGACTGTTTCAAAAAAAAAAAAAAAGAAAGATTACTTGTAATATTATTACTTTGAATTTATTTATTATTTATTTATTACTTTGAATTTAATCTGTACCACAGTACTTCTTTTTATTCAATTTGTAAATCTGCTTTGATTTTATATTATTCCAGAAGAATGTTGAAATCTCTAATTAGAATTGTAGTTTTGTTTATAGCTATAAGCACAGATGTTTAATGGCTAGTTTTAGTTTTCATAACCTGGGAAATGTAATGAGATTAGTTAAATCACTACATGCACAGGCCCTTAAGTTGAGAATTTTTCACCCTTTTGAATTCTACAACAGGAGGCAATAAGTGAAAGGATACAGAACTTTAAAATCCATGGGATTTTATACATTTTGAAAAAAAAAAAGAACTCTGGAACCCTGGGAAAAGTCATTAAGTTTGCTGGGAAAACACCTTGTCATAGAGGTATAGAATCACACAAGATAGAGCTGGAGACATATACCTAGATACAGTTTAATTCCAGATGTCCCCTCAATTAATGTATACTATATGCCAAGCAAGTTATGAGGTATTAATAATAGAGTGTTCAGTATAGAGAAATGGCCTACTAGAAAGTTAGTCTAATGCGTATATCAGTAATGAATGGCAATAGGAAAATAGGAATAATCTTTATATATATGCAAAAACACTAAAGAAGAAAAAGAGTATTTGATAAAAGATTGTTCTATCAGATCACAAGTTTCTAAATTCTAAAGAGTCAGGTCTTTCAAATCTCAGATAAAGAAGACAGTATCTATATAGAACACATATATGACAATTAACCTCCTAGGGAAGATTTCTTCTCCTAGGGAAGATTTTTACCTTCAGAGATTACGAATAGGCTCTAAACAAAGAGGCATTCTTTTTTTGTTGATCTCAACTCCCGGGCTAAAGCAATTCTTCTGCCTTATGCTCCCTGAGTAGCTAGGATGATCATAGGTACGTGCCACCAAGCCCAACCTACGAGATATTCTTGCAAAGCTAAAACCAAGATTTTTCTCTTCTGTTTTTCAGGTTTACCCCTTTCCTATAGATAACATAGCTGGTCACAAAGTAACTTTTACTTGGACAATCTTTTCAGACTACAGGCCAGGTACTGTAACATTATTGTCTTGCAGATCCTTTGGAACTTTGTAAAAGGACCAAAGAAAAATTAAAACTGAATTAAGTGAAATAATGAAAACAACTACGTTCCAATGAAAGACAGCCCAAATGAACTTAGACTCTAGGTAGTTACTGCTATGAAGCCACCTTCTGGCAGAAACTGGGAGAACAAAAATATGCAAAACAGAACTGTAAATTTTAATTCTCTTTGCCAACAAGTACTTAATTTCTCTGTAGCTAAAAGAGAGGGTACATTTCAGGGTTGGGACTTTAATTTCTCTTGTAGGAATTTATCAAAGGAAGGAGACCCATAAGTTTCAAACTTGGGACATTTTGGAGGTTGCTCACATGGGCTCTGTAGTCATGTTATACTCAAAGTATAAAAATCCTCTCCACTATTGCCATAACTGGAAAGAGATGAAAATTATTAATCCAGTGCAGCAATCAGCATACTACTGCTCCATTTCTGATGTGACCTGGAAAACTGTTTTCATATTTTTAAAAGGCTGTTAAAAACAAAGAAAGGATATGTACTTGGCTCACATGCCCTACAATTTTTACTATCCAGATCTTTACAGATTAAGTTGGCCAACTCTTGATCTAGTATATGCTGTGGCACTATGATTAATTTTGTTGATGCTATTTTGACATGCATGTCATGGGGTTGAAGAGGAAGGGAATGTCTACTGTGTTGTCAGTGTATTCTCAGATTCCTTTTCTTTTGTGGAAAGATCTCCAGAGACTGAAATATCTCCTAAGTCCTTCTTTGAGATAAGTCCTTACTAACATACTTTTCAATTTTTTATAAATAGAAAAAATTTTAATTGAGGTGAAAGAAAAAATTTCTGTGGAAAGTTCCAACAGAATTGCATAGACTGCAACTATTTCTACAGGGCAGGTGAAGGGTACAATTTAAGCCATTGCCAGATTCTCCAGATTGGGTCCTAATTTAAGGCCAGAGCAAGTAAGCAGTGACATCTTGGCTTCTTCTGACAAATAATGAGGATATAAAAAGAGAAAAGAATAACAACAATGATATATTGGAGGCTTGGCTTACCTTGTGTTAAAAGGATAGATTAAGTCAAATAATTCAAATAACCCTTTCTGCCACGCGTCTTTATCACAACGGTTTACCTCTTCCTAGAGCAGTATACTTTGGTCTGCTTTCAAAGACAAGTGGCAGTAACAGAAAGGGTCAAGGACCACGTGCATACTATTAATACCTTTACAAACATGGCTTACTCGAAATAATTTTTTAAAAATCACAACAGTGTGATTAATACGTAATAGAAGTCACTTCATCATCTGCACTTAATATTTTATGCATGCACACTTTTGGGAAGGACCCAATATCAGAGGGCCACAGTACTTTGGTCAAGTTAAGCCTCCTTTATCTACCTGAAGGAAGGCAGAGTTATCCATATTTATATGGTAATTCAGGGTACTGAGGTAGGAGGTCAGAAAAGTCCTTAAAGCAGGCCAGGATGAGTTGGGCCGTGAACTCCACCCAGAATTGATGGATTAGTGAGGGTAGGGTGCGGGGAAGCCTAGGCCACTAGCAGCCTCGGCTGCCTGGAACGAACATTCTGTCCGCATCCCCCCACCCTCCCAAACACCCCCTGCACAGCGGGGAAGGGATTCTCTCCCAGTCACGGGCTGCCTGCTCAGCTGCTGCAGGGAGAGGATGTTCTACTCCGCCCCCAGCCTGGCAGAGAACCAGGTGAAGGAAGGCCTGAAAGACCCATCTCCTCCATCCCCTCCGACCCGGCTACCCGCACCTTTATGGGCTTGGTGTCGTTGGGGCTGAGACACTGGCCATGCATCTCCTCCATGGCCCTGCAGGCCTGGGAGCTGCGGGCGAACTTGACAAAGGCGATGCCCTTTGCCTCCTTAGTGTGCTTGTCCCTCACTACCCAGATGTCCTGGATCTCGCCAAAAGGCGAGAAGCGCTCCCTCAGCACCGACTCGGGCGTGTACTTGCTTATGACCAGGAAGAGGCGGCTGTTGGGCGGTTCGTCCAGGCTGTCCACGCCCGGGCGGAAGCCTCCGCCGCTCCCAGAGGTGCCAGCTTCGTCCATGACGCCCTACCCCGGCGCATGGGTCTCCGCTTCTGCCGCGCCTGCCTCCGCCCCAGTCGCACACCTAGCTGGTGCCGGGTCGCGCGCCGCTTCCGGGAGAAGGAGGAGTCTGGGGCCGGAGCTATCCCGCTGCGGGGGGTGCTGACTTCCGGGGATCGGCCTGCAGCGCCCCCTGGCGCCTCGAGGGACCCTGACCCGGTCCAGGTTTCCAATCTTGATGAGCTCCAATGTCAGTTAAGAAATCCTTTTTCTAGGCACTCAGAATAGCCCTACCTGCTGCACAGGCTTTTTTATTGCTGGCTTCACTCCGCCTCTAAGGCCAAGGATTCATCCCCTAAACTTGCCACTGGTAAAGAAAAAAAATTATTTATGAGATTTGTTAAAGATCATAAAGTAGACTATATTCAAGGGGGGCCAAGATGATAAGTACAGGGACCACTGAAATGCAGTCTTGCAGTGGGGGAAAGATTGAACTCAGTTCTGATTCTAATTAAGGACAAGCAGGAATATGTATCTAAGAAGGATGTGTTTGTGTGTGTGGGGGGCGGTCTGTGGATAGAAAATAAGGAAGAGGAAATACATATATAAAGGGAAGAAGGGATTCTTGCTAGATGCACTTATCAGAATTCTTGCTGAAGGTAGGCCAGGGTGGTAGGAAGTTGATGGTGGTCAGATACCAAGGGTGGGGATTTTTACTACACTGAAAAGAACATTTGAGGTCATCTAATTCCAGCTTCATTTAGTAGAGATGAGAAAACGGAGGGTCGCAGCATAGCCAAAGGTAACAAAGATACATGTAACAGAGCCAGAACCAAAACCAACTCCATCTGTTGATCTTCTCAGCTTCCACAAGCACTCCTGGGGTTTGAGGGCAGAGAGGGGGGACTGCTTAATTGTGGAACTAGGATAAATTGTAGGAAACAAGCAAAGTAGGAAATGCCTAATAACTTCCAAGACTTCTTGCTAACTGGCCTTAGAGGAGATATCAGTACAAAACCAGCAGAAATTCAGAAGCAAGACCTAGATTTAGCAGTGGCATTGGAATGAAGTAAAAGGAATACACTTGAAAATGGACCAGGAGCAGGGTTCCTTGAATGTCCAAGTCCAGGCTGCTAAGACCTGGGTTGCTAGAAGTTAAACAGATAAATATTTGTTGTGGACCAACTATGTGCTAGGCTTTGTGGCGGCCTTAGCTATAAAACCGGGAACAGAAAAGAAGACCCCTGCCCTCAGAGAGACTTTTTTTTTCTGTTGTGGAAATCATACATATAAATATGTAATACAAAGTAATGTCAGATTAATTTCTTATTTTCTTTGACTATGGTGTCCACTTCCCAACCCTTGATAATTTTGTAGTTGTGTGATGGCAACTAAGAGTCAGGGAATCTGAGTCGTCACCTTGGATTTAGTACTAACAAGATCATTATAATTTCTCCTTGTGTTACATTCCTTACCTATAAAGTGAGGGCTCTGTTTACCTTGGGGAAGTCTGGCAAGCATCTGAACTTTCCACTTTATCTTACCCAAACCAATCAAGATGAATGACAACAATATGATAATATGATAATTATATTGATGTGAAATGAAAAAGTGCAAAGATTCAGAGCAATACTATTTGCACACCACTGCCATCTAGTGGAAAACGTATCATTTTCTTAAACGGCACTGATTGGGTAATCTCTATTATTTGTAAAGTAAGATTACTGATAGAGGTCCTGAAAATTTTAGGCTGATATTCAAAGCAGCTATTTTTTTCTTAAAGAAAAGATAAAAGATTACATAAAACAAAACAAGAAACAGAAATATTGGGAAATGCTAAGAAAGCAAAATTTATCTACCACTCAATCATGTGAAAGATCATACATTCAAGGAAAACAAAAAAATTACTTATAAATTACTAAAATGTTGGAAATACAACAGGGCATCCCAAAGGTCACCATACATACATATTATATAGGGAAAATGGAAATTGGAGCAAAATGTACCTTTATTTACAAAATATTCACTATAAAATTTTACATTTTTCTGTGTTGATATATTGAAATATTCAGTATTGAAATTGTAGTGTTTCAAATCATATAAAAATCTTTGAATGTGAATTAGAGGTAACCAAAACATTTTAAATGTCTGACGTTCACAAGAATGATTGTAAGTCTTCTTTTCTTTCTTTTCTTTCCTTCTCTCTCTCTCTCTTTTTTCTTTTTGAGACTGGTCTAATTCTGGCTGGAGGGCAACAGCATCATCACAGCTCACTAAAACCTCATACTCCTGAGCTTAAGTCATGTTCCTACCTCAGCCTCCTGAGTAGTGGTTGGGATGGGTGTGTGCAACCGTGCCCAATTAATTTTTCTAATATTTATCCAGAGTTAGTCTCCATCTTCTTCAGGCTGCGCTCTAGCTCTTGACCTCAAGCAATCCTACCACAGCCTCCCAAAGTACTAAGATTACAGGAGGAAGCCATCTTGTCCAGCCCAATTAGTCTAACATTTTAAAAAAGACGTGCATTTGCAGATTGTATTCTGAAGGCTTTAAAATATGTAGTCTATAATGCACAATTATTAGGATGATAAACATGATGGTTATTTCACATGAAATTCAAATGTCCTTTGCAATATTTTTTCTTCTACAAATCTTATAAATTTCTTTCTTAAAATGAGAGGTGACTGAATTTTGAATTGTAAGGAGAAAATAGTTAAATTTTGTCATCTACAATGAGGCTTACTTTGTTGGTTATGTTCATCTTAATACATTGTATTTATTAGCTAGAAAAATTTTGCCCTATTTTCAAATTTTATATAGATATTACCACTTATACTTATGGGTATAAATTAAGAACTTTCAGATTGTACCCTATGAATACGGTGCAGAGACTTTATTTGTCCCATCTGTAAAAACTACTAGTTGCTGAGCACGTACGCAATCACTGTGGCCTATAACAGGCTCTGAAGAAGTGGTAGTCTCCTTCTTTCTGAGTTTGCATGCCTTGTTAGAGAAGGCGTATTTAACTCTTGACTTTTTCTTTTAACAGTATGCCGGTCCTTTTAACTTAATAGCATACATTCTTTAAATGGGTAGATCACAGGGCCACTTAGAGGTATCACTTAGAATAGTTTCATTTAACCATTTGGAGATTGTGGCTATTCAAAAAAATAAAATACCTTAAAATTATTTACAATTGTCTAAAATTAAAATTAATCAAAACTTAAATGATTACAAATTCAGTTTATCTGTTGAATTAGCCACATTTCAATTGCTCCAAAGGTGTTTGCAATAGTGGACAGATGCCATACAGAGCCAGTGACCGCATACCAGGTACAAAATCTTCAGCCTCCGCGAGAACTGGGATCCTGCGGGATCAGGGGGCCAATCAGCAGCGAGAGTGGAGCCTGGTCTGCTATTGGCTGGCGTTTAGGGGAAGCACATGCCTGGACCCGCGCACAGGCCAGTGTTTAGAAGCGCTGTTGTGGGACTACCATCCTTAAACTTAGGGGAGGGGGGCTCTGTTTGGGCAGTGGTCCAGAGTGACTGCTCTGCTCAGGGAGGCAGAGGGCAGTGTTGCTGGCCTTGTGGTAGGTGTGGGCCTGGTTGGAAGAGAGTGGGCTGGGCAGCCATGCGATTTGAGCACTTGAGAGGCGCCAGTGCAATGTGGGCCTGGGTCCACCTGGAATGAAGCTTCCAACCGTCTGACGTGTGGAAGTTCACCCCCACCTCAGCCTGGAGGGGCCAGGTTGCCCCTATGTGCAACAGAACCCTGTTTTCTGGGAGGGGGACTCTGTGCAACCTCTTTGATTTCTGGGTGATACTGATTCTGCCTTCTGCCTGTGCCCATGGTTGGCGGGAGTCAGCCACGACACGGAGGCTGTGGCACAGGTTGTGAGTTTGGAAAGTTTGATTTTTGTTCCAACTGTAAGCTCAAACTAGCCTCCTTGAAAGGGAGTTGGCCTCAGACACCTGTAGGGATTGATAGATGTGAAGTGATTTACTCAGGGTCATATCACGATTTTTGCACTCTACATTAGTGCCCTTTCCAGTACAACAGGTGGAGTCCTACTTAATCTTTTTGAGTCTACTCAGTATGTGTTGTTAAAATATTCTAGCGAGCTTCCCCTTCCTCTTTCATCGCTTCAGTTATTTGGACTTTGTGAATCTGGAAGCTTTATTGGTACCTTGATTGTACTGGCCACATTCCTCTTGTTATTCAAAATTAAATGTAGCAATGGTATGTGTCAGTATTATTTCACCCAGTCTTCTGTAAGCACTCTTACTCAGTTGGGAAAAAAAAATTGTAAGCATCTGCAATGTGTCAGATACTGTGCTCAACCCAGAGTTGCCCAGATGACTCAAAAAATTATCTCACAGAGCTATTGTGGAGAATAGTGAGTTAACATATAACGGACTTGGAAATATGCCTGGCACATAGAAAGCACACCCAAGTGTTCACTATTCTTATTCTGCATGTTATAGTATTGGAACCACTCCACTCTTGGATGAGCGATCATTCTCATACTAGATGTCACATTTTGCTTATTTCAGTGAGATCTGTCTTAAACCCTAAGTACTTATAGAGTATCAAGTGATTATAAATTCCTGTGATATTCTTTCCATCCTCAGCATATCCCTTGTTCTCCTTCCGGCTCTTTTCCTTCCTACCCTTCCTGAATCTTTTGGTTTTAATACACTTGGAAGAGGGTTGTGGGTATTGCATGGGCAGAATTCTTCTGTGATTAAAAACGGTAGCAATAAACATTTTAATTATGATTAATACTATAGTTTGAATAGTGATCATGGAAATTTCATGCAAGTGACTTTCACATAAAATATATAGCTTATGTGTAAAAATGGTTTTGTTTTGTTTTTTAAATGTCTGAATTGCCAGCAACATTTAATTAAAAACCAATCTGACCTTTCTGCCTTGTATAAAAATTGGAAAATAAAGATTCTCTAGGTCACCGATCCTTACACTTTTTGGCACCAGTGACTGGTTTCATGGCAGACAGTTTTTCCAAGGTGGTGGGGAACGGGAGGTATAGCTAGGTGGTGATGCAAATGATGGCGAGTGGTTGTAAATACAAATGAAGCTTCCCTCACTTGCCCACTCATCTTCTGCTGTGTGTCTGGTTCCTAACACAGCACTGATCAGAACCTTTTTGGCACTGGGGACAGGTTTCACAGAAGACAATTTTGGGAGTGGGAGGGGTTGGGAGAAAGCAAAGTTCAGCTGGTGATGCTGTGTGGCCCAGTTCCTAACAGGCCAAGTGCTGGTCCTGCAGCTTTGGGTGGCACTTAGATGACATTTTTAAAACAATACAAACATTTTGCTTACAGTGAATGAATTTTGCTAAAAGGGCAACCGTGCTTTTGGGACTGAAGATTTACCTCTCATGGCCCCTGTTCAAAGGCTCACTGAATTCTGAACCTTTTCAGATAATTAATAGAATTGATACGTGTAGAAATTGGTTGCAGTGTTTTGATTTGTGTTTGGAATGTTAAAGTAGCTTCTCTGAGATAGTAAGTTTTCTTACTTTTCTTTCTATTGGATCTACAACACTGATGTTCGCTGTTTTAGGATACTGCCCAGAGAAAACTGTCTTCCCTTTAGGTGGATTATTGATACTGTAATGGTTTCCCCATAGGTTTAAAGTTAGGACGCTATTATAGTTTTACAGATTATTACATATAAACCTCTAGCCTTTCTCCAAGTAATGACCAACTTTACTTGAATATTACCATATTCTTCAATATTGGCAGAATAATACAGATGTTCCATATTTCTCAGTAAGGCTGCATAAATTAATATGTGCTTATGACCCTATATCAAAGAATGAGACATTTTCATGGTTTGTATAATAATAATTTTCATCTTAACTCTCATTCCCCTGTACTCTTTCACAGAGCACAAAGAGCAGGAAAACAAACCCAAGTAGTGCATTTATTACCATATTAAAGCATATACCTTTTTATTATTTGAAATTAGTTTAATTTTTACATCATTTTAGGTGGAGGAGGCATTTGCTTAGTTATGTTGCATAATTTTTGACAGTCTTAATCAAAATCTTTTTTGTACAAATGTATATGCCTAGCACCATATAATAAGACTTTTCCTACTTGAAACTATGTATTTTCCACTACTTTAGTATTATAATACATACTAATGTTCACTGAACTCCATAATGTTATTTGCGATTGGTTCCAGGTAATGCTTGATCTAGTCTGGTAGATTTATTTACAGCTAAGAGTATAAAGTAAATAAGAAATTATGGTATATGTAGCTTGCTGTGGTCTCATTCTTTTCTGTGTGTCTTTGGATTTTATTGTGCTGTTGATGATTGCAGGCATATAAGTCCTCATAATCAATATAAACCCCTTTCCAATTTGTTCTATCCTACTTTTTATGTAAGAGGATGACATATTAGACCCATATGCCTCACATCACTTTTTGCGCATATGCTTTCTGGAAATGAAAAGGAATATGATTGACCTGGATAAATTAATATAATTGAAAGCTGAAGTAAAACCATATTTATACCAATTGCCGTTCCTGTAGTAACTGTGGTAGAAATTGAAAATAAACCTGACAAATGAGATGATTAAATCTGAATCAATTTGGATGCTATAAGAGATCTGTGTTTTTGAGCACTCAGACAATAAAGCACATGTGTGCTTTAAACGATATACGTCTTTGTCTGAAGTCATTAGCACTCGCTTCAGCCAAAGTGATGAAATTCCTTTTTCTCCAGTTTTGCAAATCTGATATTTTCTTTGGTCTGTGGTTTAATGAATGTTTCATTGCAGAACAAAATGGGAGATGCTGAAGCAGGCAAGAAGATCTTCGTTCAAAAATGTGCTCAGTGCCACACAGTGGAAAAAGGTGGAAAACACAAGACTGGTCCAAATCTCTGGGGCCTTTTTGGCCGGCAAACAGGACAGTCACCAGGATTTTCTTATTCTGATGCAAATAAAAACAAAGGTAAAAGCAAGCAGTTGTGGGAGAGAACCAGATATTTTGTTGCAAAGAAGAAAGCAAATGATTTGATATTATAGGAATTTCTTAACTGGCAGCATTGAAAATAGACCCTCATATTTATATTACTGAAATCTTGATTGACATCACAAGACCTGCCCATGAATAACCAACCGGTCACTCTTTTGATCAGAAGAATTAGCAATCTTGTGTGGCATAAGGTTTTGCCTATATAGGGTATTTTATTTTATCTTGAAAAAGTATGAGCTAAATTTAAAAAAAATCATATTTTAATGGTATAACAGTAGTAGTGGTTCTGTTTGTACTAGTGATTCTTAGTAGGGTGGGAGGAATATCACAGTTTGAAAAGCATATTCAGCAATTTCTTTATTGGTGGGAAAGGACTACATAAAGTGAGAAGAAGGCATTTTAGGATTGAGGTTGAAAAGTTGGAAAAGACTGTGATATCTTTGCAAAGTAATTTGTTGCTCCTTGATATATGTAATATAGATACATGCATACGCACATGTACACATATGTGTGTATCTACAAAGATGTGTACCTACATACATATGTATGTGTATATGTGTACGTGTGTGTGTATGTGTATATTTAAGGATTATCATCAAATTTTCTTAAAACAAAGTAATTATATTTAAAACTTAAAGCAACTCTATTTTGAACTTTTCTCAGAGGCCTAGCATATTTTATAGGTTGGAATTTCAGATCACTAGTATTTGAAAGGGTTTTATTTTTTTATTTTCATTATTTTATTGAAGTGGAATTTATATGATTTACATAATATATAATTAGCCATTTTATTTATTTATTTATTTATTTTTGAGACAGAGCCTCCAGCTGTGCCTCTGGGTAGAGTGCCGTGGCATCACAGCTGACAGCAACCTCCAACTCCTGGGCTCAAGGGAGTCTCCTGCCTCTGCCTCCCAAGTAGCTGGGACCACGGGCACCCACTGCAACACCTGGCTATTTTTTGGTTGCAGCCGTCATTGTGACTTGGTGGGCCTGAGCTGGTTTCAAACCCGCCACCTTAGGTGTATATGGCCTGGTGCCTTAGCCACTTAAGCCACAGGCGCCAAGCCTAATTAGCCATTTTAAAGTGTAAGGTTCAGTAGCATTTAGTGCATTCACAATGTTAAAAAGTCACCACTTCTCCCTACTTTTAAAACTTTTTAAAATCACCCTGAAACAGCTGCATCCATTAGTAATCACTCCCCAACCCCTCTTACCCCTATTCCCTGTCAACCACTAATGTTTCTGTATCCTTAGATTTGCCCACTGGATCTTTCATGTACAAGGCATCATGGAACGTGAGGCCTTCTGTGTCTGGCTTCTGTCACTTAGCATGTGTTCAGGGCTCATCTAAACTGTAGCATGTATCTGTACTCAATTCCTTTTTTCCATCTTTATTAAAAATATTTACCCCACCAATCACCCTCCCTCCACTTATCCTCCCCCCTCCCCTCTCCTCCCTCTCCCCTTTCCCCATATTTTTGGGCTATAATTGGGTTGTAGCTTTTCTATGAAAGCTACAAATTAGTTTCGTAGTAGGGCTGAGTACATTGAATACTTTTCACGCCTATGGTTCATCTTAGAAGGGTACATGTGAATCTTTCTAAATGTAGAATATAAATGTCTTAACACAATAACTAAGAAAATGACATGAAGGCTATGTTAACCAGTTTGATGAAAATATTTCGAATTGTATATAAAAATAGCAGACTGTACCCCATGACAGTATTAATGTACACAACTATGATTTAATTTAAAAAAATTACCCCATAAAAATACTACAGACAAACAACAACAACAACAAAAAAAAAAAACACCCAAGGATACAAAGGGTGATACTGAGAAGCTAACAGTCCAATGATTTTTGATGGCAATTGATACTTCCTCTGACTGAAATTCTACTTATAGCCTTTAGCTACATAATTCCCGTCTCTGACTTTGCTGTCACAGAATTCCAGTGAGTTTCTGTCTTCACATGGCTATTTTCTTATAAGGACACCAGTAATAGTGAATGAGGAGCTCATCCTATTCCAGTGTGACCTCATCTCAAGTGAACTAGTCACGTCGACAGTGACCCTATTTCCAAACAAACCCATGGCCTGAGGTACCAGGGCTTCAATATATCTTTCTTTGGGGGAATATATGTAATCAAGGACTGTCTATACATTTAAAATAAATACAAGCTTGATAGAGTTCTTACACTAAAAGTATATGAAATAAAATTTAATCTTTGTCAAGTTAGGAGTATTTTAACATCTATTAAAGTTTCAACATAGTTATTATTAACACAGTGTCATTGTATTTAGTATGTATAAAAGTCCTGGAAATGGGTATTATATCATAAAGAATTTGGTCCTTATCTGGGGTTCCTGGCAGGGAGCCTCTAAAACATTGGAATTTCTGGAGTGATCATGTATCTTCTTTATTACGGTTAGCCCCTGAAACCAAGACATGAGGGTATGCTAAGAAGATGCCTCATGATGAGCTCCCAGTTTCAGGATGGGGACTGACTATGCTGCAGAGACCAACCATGTGTTTAGAGAATTGGGACTTTCAGCTGGAAGCTTTGGTTGAGTTTCCTGTTTGGTGAACAATTCCATGAATTGGGAGGGCATTGAGTCCTCCCATGAACTGGGAGGGCTACAGAGAGATGACCTAGAAGCTCTCGCATTTGGGACCTTCCCAGACTTCACCCTGTTGGAGTTCTTTTTTTTTTTTTTTTTTTCTGGCTGATATCCTTTATGATAAAACTGTAGTGGTAAGCAAGTGCTTTCTGAAGTTGAGGAGATTGTGGGAATTCCTGAATTTGTTTCCAGTTGGTCAGTTTGAGTGGCCCAAAGGCCCCTGGTATCTGAAGGAAGGCAGTCTTGTTTGGGAGCCTGTGCTAACTCTGGGCAGTTAATCCAAGAATTGCACCGAGGTGTTTACAATAGGATCTTCAATTAATAGACTACTGAACAAGTCAGTTTTAACTCACACTTGGTGTTTGCATTTACATGGCTCTTTAATTTTAAGATAGTATTTCTCTATGTAATTTTATTGTTTTATTATCCTGTTAAAATAACATTCAATTTTTGAAGTTCTAATTTGTAGTTATAAACTCATATTTGTTCCTCTAGCTGCCAATATTTTGAAGAATTTCTTATTTATTAACATTGATTTGAAAAATAATATTAGAACTTATTACAAGTATATCTTTTACTATAGATTATTGTCAAAGGTTGAAAGCTGTTTAAAAGGCTTGGTTTTAACATTATTTGAGAACTAGAAATAAAATTTTCCAGGCTCAGCACCTGTAGCTCAGTGAGTGGGGCGCCAGCCACATACACTGAGGCTGGCAGGTTTGAGCCTGGCCCAGGTCTGCTAAACAAGACAGCTGCAACCAAAAAAATAGCTGGACGTTCTGGCAGGCACCTGTAGTCCCAGCTACTTGGGAGGCAGAGGCAAGAGAATCGCTTAAGCCCAAGAGTTTGAGGTTGCTGTGGGCTGTGATGTCACAGCACTCTACCAAGGGCGACATAGTAAGACTCCGTCTCAAAAAAAAAAAAAAAAATTCCATAAATCAGATTATTTAAGTAATATTTAAATATTATTCAGGGATATATTATTATTTGCTAGTTCCATTGATGACATAATAATAATAAGTAACTTAGTTTGTTAATTAGGACTAATCATAGAATAAGATTATTTAAAATGAAATGAAGATTTAAAGGATACCTGAAGATTCAAAGGCATAGTTGAATAAGAAGAGAACCAGGAGGCCAGTAGTACAGTGCTAATACAAATTGTGGGGCACTGTCAACCATAATTGATTTTCTGTTGCAAATAATTATAATACATGTTTTTATTTTCAGAAGAATACAGAAATTATCATATTTTAAGGAGATTCTTTGTCCCATGTGACTTGCATAGAGTACAATTTTACAAAGTGCATGATTGTAGCAATAATTTTATGTAATGTGGTTTTAAAATTGTGGTAAAATATGCATAACAGAAAATTTACCCTTTTAACTATTTTAAGGGTACAATCCTGTGGCATTAATCACATTCACATTGTTTTGCCACCATCACCAACATCCATCCCCAGAACTTTTTCATTTTCTCAAACTGAAACTTTGTACTCATTAAACAGCCCCTGGCAATTGCCGGTTTACTCTGTCTTTTGTTAATCTGACTATTCTGTGTACCTTACTGAGGGGAATCATGCTGTGCTTTCATGACTAGTTTATTTCACTTAGCAAAGTATCTTCAAGGTTCATCTATGTTGTAGCATGTGTCAGAATTTTCTTCTTTTTAAAGGCTGAACAATATTCTATTTAAAGTAGACAACACAGTCTGTGTATTCACTGATTCCTTGATAGAGACTTGGGTTGCTTCCACCTTTTGGATCTTGTGAATAATGCTGCTATGAACATGGGTATGCAGGTAGATGTGGAGTCCCTGCTTTTGTTTTCTTTGGGTGTATATCTGGAAGTGGAATTGCTGAGTCCTATGATAATTCTGTGTTTAATTTCTTGAGGAACAGCCATACTGTTTTCCACACTTGGTAGCACCATTTTATAATTCTACCATTAATGCATGACAATTCCAGTTTCTCCAGATTTTCACCAACACTTGTTGTTTTCCATTGTTTTGGTAATAGCCATCCTGATGGCTTTTAAGTGCTATCTCATGAGGTTTTGATTTACATTTCTCTATTCTTTTTTTTTTTTTTTTTTTTTTGAGACAGAGCCTCCAGCTGTTGCCCTGGGTAGGGTGTGTGGTATCACAGCTCAGAGCAACCTCCAACTCCTGGGCTCAAGTGATTTTCTTGCCTCCACCTCCCAAGTAGCTGGGACTACAGGTGCCTGCCACAATGCCCAGCTATATTTTGGTTGCAGCCGTCAATGTTGTTTGGCAGGCCTGGGCTGGATTCGAACCCGCCAGCTCAGGTGTATGTGGCTGGCACTTTAGCTGCTTGAGCCACAGGCTCCGAGCCCATTTCTCTATTTTTTAGTGATGCTGAACCATCTATGGTGTGTTTTTAAAAACAGTGTTAAATGGGTACAATTTTTCCTTTAACCCTAATATCATTATGGTGAATTGAGGTGCTGTTTGTACTTACGGGCAGTGATAATGAAGCAGATTTTAAAAATGTTTAAATTAATCTTTATTTTTCTAGGATTCTATGCTAATAAAGTGACAGAACTAGGGTTCAAACCTCGGTTTTTTGGGGGCCTTTAAAGAAATCATATTATGGGATTAGCAGAGTCATTTATTAGGGGTTAGTCTTTATCTTTTGCCTAGTGTCATGTCAGATCTTGGATACAATAGAACACACTGAATCACTTTAAAATATTTTGAAATCTGTGTACGTTATACAAAAATGCAAATAATTCTGAAGACTATTTCCCAGGATGCATACAATGAAATCACGTACGTTCACTTTTCCTGACCTTTCCCTATTCCTCTCCCTCTACCAACTAATTCTGGAGAAATTCTTTTTTATTTTCGTGGCCACATTTGTACTTAGAATAATATCCATATGCCTCTACTCTTTGATTTGCCTACTTTAAGCAAAATTTCTTTGTCCTTTTCTATGAAGGATGAGAAAATCAAAGTATTTATGCAAACAACCTGTTACTCTGCTCTCTATTTCAGCTGGCAAAGACTGGCAGCCCCAGGGTTATGTAACTCTTGCAGTTTCTCTTCTGTCCTATACTAAGTTGGATTCCTTCTTTCAAGGATGCGTGTGCTTTCTTCGTTAATCCTGGCGCTCTTGGTGCCACACTGCATTTAAGGAGACTTTCGTGGTCAGCTGATACACCCTATTCTTTTTGAGCCGAACAGAGGGTTTTGACTTTGCCTTACGAAGTGTACCACATACATTGGAGGTCTCTGCTCTTCTCCTGAGGTCATTAGAGGAAGGGGTCCTTTTGCTCAGATCCAGGATTCATGTCCTAGTAGCCTTCTGCGTATATCAAGTTTGAAGCGAATAGCTCCAATAGTGCTTACTCAAAAGTGAAGTTAGCAATTTGGTTCTTTTTGTCTATGTTTTTTTTTGAAGGAAAAAAGGCATTTCTATCATCTTAAAACTGGATTTGTGAAATAATATATTTTGTTGGAGATCTGGACAGGGTAGCTTGGTATGATTAGTAGAAATACTATAGAAATTATGAGTTAGTAGTCACCAATTCTTTTTTTTATTTTTTAACTTTTCTAAATTAAATCATAGTTGTGTACATTAATACTATCATGGGGTACAGTGTGTTGTTTCCATATACAATTTGAAATACTTTCATCCAACTGACCAACATAGCCTTCATGTCATTCTCATAGTTGTTGTGTTAAGACATTTATATTCCACAGTTAAAAAGATTCGCATGTACCCTTATAGGATAAATCAGAGGCTTGATCCCAGCAATCACCCTCCCTCTAGTCACAAATTCTTGACTCCAACTGGCTTTGTATTCTTAGAACAAGTTACTTTCCTCTCTTTGGGCCAGCATTTGCTTATCTGAAAAAAAGAGGGTTGGATGTCTAAGATATTTTCTAGAAGGAACTCATTGTGACTTTAGGAAGATGAGGTAATGACAACATGTCTGGGGGGATGAAAGTTCATTGCTATCCTTTGGATAATCCTAACTAGCATGTGACTGTTGGATTTCTATGGAGAAGCCAAGGAGTAGAGAATAATTTTGAAATTTTCTTATAGGTCAGAACCTATGAGTACTCCCAGTTATAACAGTCTTTCTATTGAATTCAAGAGTAATCTTTTGTTCACATATGTGGGTCACATCAGAAATTAAGCCATTCAAATGTAGCTACACAACCTTAAAATTTATTTTCACCTTCATAGGTATAATCTGGGGAGAAGACACTCTGATGGAATATTTGGAGAACCCAAAGAAATATATCCCTGGAACTAAAATGATCTTTGCTGGTCTTAAAAAGAAGAAAGAAAGAGAAGATCTTATTCAATATTTGAAACAGGCAACTTCTTAATGAAATGCTATTACTACTTCAAAAATATTAGTTATGAGCCAAAATATTCTTATTTCAAATACAACATGTTTAAAGAAACCATATTTGATCTTTTTTGATCAGCTTGTAGTAAGTTTAACATTTTAAAATAAAGATTGATATTTTTAATTATGTGTGATCTACTGACCAGATGTCCTTCAGAGTCTGAACTTGCTTTTTTCTGCTTACTCAGGATGGGGATAGATCAGGATGGAGGAGAAGAGGGAAGAGATTGATTGTGTTTCAGTAGTCTTTACAGGCATGAAATATTTTGTAACCCTAGCAACTATTATCAGTTATGGTTTCCACATACCTATATTTATTTTTCTGTAATTTAAATGTAAATATAGAAGACATTAGCTCTAATTTTCATTAAGCTATGTGTATTTGCCATTTATTATAAATAATACTTAAAGTAACTTGAAGGAGGGTGGTGCCTGTGGCTCAGTGAGTAGGGTTACAGCCCCATATACCAAGGGTAGTGAGTTTGAACCTGGCCCCAGCCAAACTGCAACAAAAAAATAGCCAGGTACCCGTAGTCCCAGCTACTCAGGTGGTTGAGGCAAGAGGATTCCTAAGCCCAGGAGTTGGAGGTTGCTGTGAGCTGTGATGCTACGGCACTCTACTGAGGGTGACAAAGTGAGACTCTGTCTCAAAAAAAAAAAAAAGTAACTTGAAGGAAAAAAAGGTAGGAAAAATGAAATCAAATAGTTGATCTTACCTTAGGAATATTTTTGGAAAAAAATAGCACATTATTGACCCTAAAATAAAACAGCGAGAGAAGGAGAAACACATGGCCTATTTTAATAAAAATTTATATCATATAACAGTAATTTTTTTTTGCATTAATATTTTTTATGGTATCTTGCTAGTTCCGGGTAATATAAAACTGGGCTACAGGAGCTAAAGCAGGGATACTGAGAGAGAAGGAGAAAAAATCATCATAAATGTGGAAAGAGCCCCCATTCCCAAGTGGAAGTGATGCACTGTGGGGCAGGTCTGCAGCAGGAAACAATGGCTCTGGGTAGTGTGAGGCGGCTCCTAAGCAGCTGGGCTGCTACCAGTACTCTGGCACCCAAGCTATACTGCCAATCCAGGAAGGAGAAACTCTTTCCATACCAAAGAGATGGGTAGTGGACTGGTCAGGGGCCATTATGGATGAGGGCAGGAGACCTATTTTCTCATTTGCACTTCACAATAGCACCAATGATGTGGGTTTTTACTTTCTTTCTTTCTCTTTTCTTTTCTTTTCTTTTCCTTTTTTTTTTTTTTTTTGAGACAGAGTTTCATTTTGTCACCCTGGGTAGAGTGCTGTGACACCATAGCTCACAGCAACCTCAAACTCTTGGGCTCAAGTGACCCTCTTGCCATAGCCTCCCAAGTAGCTGAAACAACAGTTGCCTGCCACAATACCTGGCAATTTTTTAGAGTCAGGATCTTATTTTGCTCAGGCTTGTCTCAAACTCCTGGGGTCAGGCGATCCACTCGCCTCGGCCTCCCAGAGTGCTAGTGTTACAGACATGAACCACCGCTGCTGACCAGGATTTTACTTTCTATGTTGAGACCTAGAGGTGCCAGAATTAAAACTCCAGTCTTCTAATCCAATTCCTGATGACTTTTCAGGATAGGGATACTATGTTATGTTACCTAGTTAAAACATCAGCAGATGCCACTACTGTGAAGATATCCTAACAGTTAGTTTTCAGAGTGAGAGGAACATAGTTGAAAAAAGGGACCATTCAGTTCCATTGAATCTGCCAAGTGTTCAAGTTTAATTTTAATGCTTCTGGTAAGTGACGGAGAAAGCACTTCTCATGGAGCCAGTGCCAGTATTGTGTAGGAAGGAGTGTCTCTGGGGGCCAAGAGACAGCTTCAGGCAAAGCTGAGCTTGTTACTCTATCCCTGAAGGAATTTTCTGATGAGGGCAGAGACATCTGTAGGTCTCATAGTATTCTAAGGATGTTGCCGGTCTCAGCTAAGTTGGGTTTTCATAGATGAAGAATCAGGTGACATACCTCATATCCTAATTTGCATGAGGCCAGAGCGCTCTGTGAGAAAGAACTTGAACTTGGTTCACATTCATAATTACAGTTGAGATTTATATAATCTTGAATAAGTGACTTATAGAGAGAAACAAGGGCCTCATATTTGGGGTTTAAATACTTTTGACTTGTGGGAATTACAAAGAAGATAGCATGAGGAGCGCTGAGATGATAAAAGGCCGTTGGGTGGAAATGGAGAAGTAATCAGTAGATTTCCATTCTAAAAATTGTTCAGTTAGTGATAATGGGTTGCATGTTGCTTTAAACTTATGTTTATTTTAGTAAGAGAAAAGAAAAGTATCTCTTTGCTGGTAACAATGTTTCCTGTATTAGATAGAAAAGTTAGAGAAAAATTTGCAAGTGAATTGAAATCCTATATTGTCATAGTCTTTACTGAATACATGTTATCTCTGGGAGGCTTCAATCCGTCTAGGATCAATTTAGACATGAAGGGACTTCTGGATACCTTGGCGATTTCGTACTGTACCAATCCAGCTTAGCAGGAACTGTGCTTCTCGTGATCTCTTCTCTATACAGTACTCAATTAGGACTGATCACAAGAAAAATTTGCCTGAGATTGGAAGGCAGAGGGGCCAGGGCCTTCTACGTTTTGGAGGGTCAGTTCAGGGCCCCAAGTACAACTTAATACTTGTGACTACTCTGCTGGCTCCCCTTTTCTGTGACTACTCTGTTGGCTCACCTCCTTTTCTGGGGTGGGGCAGCAGCTCTTCCAACTCTGACAGATCTTCTGTTATGGCTTCTCTGAGTCCTGAGCCAGGCTCTGTGCACTTTGAGGGGCAAGAGCTTAGACATGTCACCCAGGCTGGGAGTGGTGAGAAGCAGACAAGGCTGTCACCAGTTTACCCTCACAGGACCGTCTCTGCCCTCCTTTTTGCTTCCAGCCTTTCCTCCCAATGCCTTGCCCAGCTGAGCTACAACAGCTTCAGGCCCGTCACTTTGGAGGCAAGGCCCATAACAAAGATTCTCCTTTTTGACCAAACTTGAGTTAGGCTCCTCTAAACTCTCTTTTTATCTAGGCCCCAATCTTGGTCCCCTTAGTCCAGTTTTAGCAAGAATCCTGCTAAATCATTTTAGGAAAAATCTCCCACCCTTGCTATCTGATAGCAGGTATCCTGTCAAGTTAGCTTAGCCAGAATCTCCTTTACCCCTAAAGTGACACCTCTTACTACTTTTCCATCCACTGACCTTCCTCCCTGGCTGTAAACCCCTTTGTCCTCCTTGTATTCATAGTTGGGTTCCATCTCTCCCCTCTATTACAGAATACTCACTGCCACAGCCTCTTCTTTAAAATCTTCCTTGTAATCTTTAACAAGCATCAGAATAATTTCATCTTTAATTTTAACAACTTGCCATAGTTTTCTTCAACAGCTCCCCTGTGTGGTCCTGGGAACTTTGATCCTTTAGTGATCTCCCTCTGGATTGGTGCCTCCTCAGCTTCTCCCCAAGGTCTACAGTAAATCCCCTATTCACGTCACTCACAGTGGTCCTGCTGGGCTGGACCAAACCCTCAGTGGTACAGACAGCGTATCTGTGCAGCACAGCTACTTTGCGAATGGCAAGAACCTCTGAGGGGATGATTTTCTGAGTGCTTTTCAGCCTAAATTAGGTGTATCTTGATAGAGCAGAAGAAAGAGTAATTATGTTTTATAGGCATCTCAAGTTGTCAAGTTATTAAAGTCTGGCAATATCTACTATACTTGAATTCAATAGTCACTAGAAAAAAAGATTCATGATCGTCAGAGAACAGATTTCTACTTGTTTTATAGCACCATTACCAGGAGCCAGGGGACTTTAGTGACCAGGAAATGTTATGCTGATAACATATGAACAAAAAACGTATTCGAAAATATTGTGGACAGTGGGATAATTATATAGAACATTTATCACTTTTAGCATAGGCGATTCCAATACATCTTTTGATAAGGATCTAAAAGGATAGGTGTTGTCTCATTCAATGAAAGTCAAAATGAGGGCTTAGTTGATTTGGTCCTAAGTGTTAAGAAGGCCTGGTAGCTTGCCGTTTGGGATTTTTAAAAAGACCTATGCCACCAGATAGGATGTTCAGCAGTTCTTCCGGAGAGATCAGGAAAGAGTAGAAAGAGGCCTGACACTACTGGGAGAGAGGTAAGGGGAGAGATTGATTGATTTACCTGGGGGACAAGGTGAGACAGAGTAATTATTTCAACTGCTCCAGAGTCTCAGCTGGGCTCTTTCAGCCACGTCTGTGAAGGGGCCAGAGTGAGCCAGCTAGTCCAGTGAAGCCCCCAGGTCAGTTTAGCCTAATGATTGTTCTTAGTAACAATCACAATCCTTTTAAAACCTAGGATGGTGGCACTTTTGACAGCACAACTGTCTCCAGAAATGTTTGATTTTTGTTCTTTTTAATTTTTTTTTTTTGAGGCAGAGTTTCACTATGTCGCCCTTAGTAGAGTGCTGTGCTGTCACAGATCACAGCAACCTCAAACTCCTGGGCTTAAGTGATTCTCTTGCCTCAGCCTCCCAAGTACTTGGGACTACAGGAACCCACCACAACACCTGGCTATTTTGTTTTGCTGTTGCAGTTGTCATTGTTTTGGTTGTAGTTGTCATTGTTATTTGGCAGGCTCAGAGTTCGAACCTGCCAGCCCCGGTGTATGTGGCTGGTGCCCTAGCCACTGAGCTATGGGCACTGAGCCTGATTTTGTTCTTTTTGTCAGTGGAACTTTGTGCTTACCAGGATTTCATGGAGTCACATTCTTTTTCCTGAGCCATTTCTTTGCCCCAAGACTGAGTCTTAAAATTGGCCTTTGTGGCACAGAGTATTTTTTTATTCATCTGAAGTTGCAATGTATAGGTTGGCAACCCCTAGGATTTCTGGATTCTCTATGTTCTCTTGAATCCTTGTTTGTAAAGAAGCCAGTTCATTTCCAGAGCTTGCCT